TACAAAAAAAAAAAAAACTCTGGTTGAGCCAGAAATGGCCTGTTTGTAAACCCTGCTTGGGGATTTATTTTTATTCATTTGCTAACCAACAGTTCCCACCGATAGAATATCATGAAAATCTGAAGAAAGCCTGCTCCCAAACTCACCTTCCCTGCTTGCAAACTGTTTGTTCTCTCTCAGATTGGAGCATAATCATTGTTAGACAACCGTTTCAGCCAATAGAACGACAGACGTAGGTGGGGTACATTGTTCCCCTTGTGTTACTCCTATAGCTCTGCTTAAATGACTGTGTAAAAAATATGAAAAATGTCTGAAACTAGTGATAGAAATAATAAATGTTGATACAAAAGTGCTGTAGACTTTTCATAACGTAACATAGCTAAAAATCTAATTTAAATTAGTAGCCAAAAAGAAAAAAAAGAAATGAAAAAGGGAAAACATTATAAAAGGTATTTCTAAAATCATCAATGAAAAATTGCCTAATGCCCTTTAAGAAGTAGAATTAGCATCTGCCCTCTGAATAGCTAACTCTTAGTTTTATTTACCTCACTTTTAGTGGAGTAATAATGATCAGAGCACTCTCACTTTTTTTGCACATAAAGAAAACATTTTCCTGGCTTTCTATGTAAAAACAATGGAGTTTAACCCATTGATATATTTATTTACTTTTCACTTTTATGCTGGGAGCTCTGTAGAAGCAGAGATCACGACTTGCATGTAGTGACAGCTCCTGGATCAGCTTCTCTGACTGGTTGACGCTCAGCGTCCTGCTGAAAAAACTTTAGATGTCCCAACTCGAGCGTCCGCCACTCTAGATGCTGGAAACGCAGCAAGACCCGATGCTCAAATCGGACCACTGGACCTCTCGACGCTCCTCGAGGCCAACTCCCAAACTGACCTGACACTAAAAAAAACTGTTGGTATCAACGCAAGGCTGCTAGACTGCTGTTCTGTTGGTTTCAATGGCTGCTAGGCGATGATTCAATTCCAATCTGAGAGAAAGAAAAAACATCCACAAGAAGGAACAAGAGGACTACATTTCTGCCAGTCACCATATTCAACGTGAATCGTTTTCGGAGCACAGCAGCTCTGGTTGGACTCGGATCACACTAAGGTTGCATCATCACGCCAAAGTGGTGAACTTATAGGCTTTAAATGGAAAAATAAACCAGTATGGTGGTTATTTGGTCAGTACTACCCACGTCTTCTGTTCCTTCTCATTATCCAATTACCTCACCTTTCTTTATTTGGATCTATCGTGGGTCAGAGAGTTCAAATATTTTGTTTTTCAGTTATTTTTATTAGATTTTATAACATAAAATATACCTGTTTTTTTTCCATCTATGTCATGTCAACCAAGAAAAAACAGGCTTAAATTGGAAGGCAACCGAAGGCATTTCAACACCTATCCAGGTGTCGACTCGTATCAGAGCCCAACCAGAGGCAATAAATCAATAAAAATCAATAAATAGATTTTCTATTAATATATATATATATATATATATATATATATATATATATATATATATATATATATATAAAAAAAATTAGATTAACTGGATTTGTATGGACAAAAATTAGATTCGATTTTTAAACCATATCGGCCCAAGTCTCCCTCAGCATCTAACCCAGTTTTCTCCCGTGACCCCAGTGGAGTTGTCCAATAACTTTACTAATAGACTGATGATCTGCTTGATAAACAGGTAATCTGACTGATTTAATGATAATCTGGGCAATAAACTGGTAATCTGACTCATAACCCAGTAATCTGCCTGTTATAAGTGATAATCTCACTGATAAACCGGTAATCTGATTGAAACAGGCAGTCTAACTGTGGAACTGTTAATCTAACTGTCATACCAGTAATCTGACCAATAAACTGGTAATCTGGGCATAAACCTGGAAATCTATTACACTGTTAAACTGGTAATTGGACTGAAAAACAGGCAATATTATCCATCCTTTTTCACTTGTTTAAATAAACACATAATCCAGGTTTTAAAAACCCGGTTCAGGTCTGAGCTATACATCAAATGTGAAATGATCAGTTGGGTTTGGGCAGTTTTTAAAAGTAGGCGTAGCCGAAGCTGTTCCTGTTTTGGTGTTCGGTCTTATCTCTTTACCAGAACCTGTGGTCTCACCTTCTGGCGCGAGATCCGGAACGAGAACGACCCATCGATCCTGACCTGCAGAGAGATGAAATCATCAAACTTTGCAAAGGTGAACGGCTCACCGAGCATGATCGGAACAGCCACACCCACCTGCTGCGGCGCTTAGACACAGACCGGGACCTGAAGGGAAAAGAAAAGATTTTTTAGGGGGGGTTGTAATATCACCATGACAACATCAAAGAAAAAAAAAAGAAAAACTTACCTGGACCTCCCAGGGGAGCCAGAACGGAACCTTCTAGGTGACCCAGACCTGGATCTCCTAGGTGACCCAGACCTGGATCTCCTAGGTGACCCAGACCTGGATCTTCTAGGCGACCCAGACCTAGATCTTCTGGGTGACCCAGACCTGGATCTTCTGGGTGTGCTAGACCTGGATCGGCGAGGGGAGGACCTGGATCTGAAGACATCACAGAGATCAGAGTCCAAACCTTCTGGGCCCAGGACCTACAGCTCAGCAGAACTTACCTCCTTCCTCTGCTTCGGCTGCGACTCCTGCTGCGAGAGTACCGCCTCCCACGGGATCGGGACCGGGAACGGGACCTGGAGCGGATCACATCATGAGAAGCGGAACAGATGGATCTTGAGGCATCACAGTTGTGAAGCAGCACCTGCTCCTGTGGCCGCGGCGGCCGTAGCGATGGCAGTCATAGGCGTAGTGGCCCTTCTGTCCACACTCGTAACACTTGTCGTCGGGATCAAACGGCCTGCGTGGCGGCGGCCTCTCGTACCGGGAGCGCCGGGGCATCCCGTTGGACGGTTCCACCCGCACCCGGCTCCCGCAGATCACCCTGAAACATGCCAGCACCCAGTCAGTCAGCTGAAGGCAATCCGGAGGTCACCTGTGATCGTGTCTGCGATACAGACTTTCCATCCAGTCCTCGCACGGCGTCCTCAGCGTCCCTGGAGTCCTCAAACTCGACGAAGGCGAAGCCTGGAGGGTTCCTGGCGATCCAGACTGTTCTGAGGGGCCCGTAGTACCCGAAGGCTCGCTCCAGCTCAGCTTTTCCTGCCCCTGTCCCCAGGTTCCCCACGTACACCTTTGATTCTGCATAAAACATTTGAGAGGAGCAAACAGGTTCAACAGCCAATCAGACAGAAGAATCAGAGACTAACATTCTCAACATGATCGCATCAGACCAGGATGCTGATTGTTACAAAGTAACGGGTCACCTAAAACCGAAGTTCATTTTAAATCAGTCTTCATTAAAGGAACGTTTTTTGTACCGGCTCCTTTTTAAGAACAGCTTTTTACTGACTGTTAGAGTTCTGTAGCTTTTTCTACCCGGTCCTCTCTGTCAGATCCAAGGCTGGGAAAAGATGTAAACCACTTTCTTAAATCAATCACCTTCAGTTGTTCTAGCTCCAACTCCTCCCCACCAGCAGGACTGATTCAGACTGCGGACGGAGAACAGAACCAGGACATGCTGAGGTCCAGAGAGTCTCCAAGTGTCTCATCAAACCTGTGGTACTTTGTCACTATGGTAACAGTCCTGCATCCAATCAGCCGTTTAAAACTTGATCCCATCAGTGGGAATCACTTGGTTTCATCCTTGGCGCTCTGTTGGGTCAAACCGTTCAATTTGGATCTCCTACCTTAAAATTTTATCTCATCAAACAGATGATCAAAAAACAAACAAACTGCAAAATCAGGATATTTCACAAATTTTTTTTTCACTGATTTTCGGGCCAATACTTTATATGAAGTTTATGAGTCCCAACTAAACGCACCATCAAGACCCCAGGATCACTGCAAAATATCCAGAACTTAATCACTGGATGAAGGAAAACTGCTGATGCCGGGGATGGAAAACTTTCCTCTGAGCAAAAATCACATCATCAGAACAATGGAAGAATGTACGGACCTTCTCTGCTTCTTAACCAGAACTCCATCACCACAAGCAATCTATAAATATTTGGACAAATATAAATAAATGTATCCCGATAAGCTACTGTAACAAACAATGATGAATAATGCGTTTCCGTTCAGGTAGACGTTCTAACAAGCAGCTATTTCCGTGACTATCTTAGCTTGTTGCTGTAATTTCCAGTCCGCCTGTAGGTGGCAGTATCTCCTGACCTGTTGGCTATAAACTGAACCAGACTCCGTTCTAATTCCTGCAAATTTAACTACTTGCTTCTGCCAATCAGACTCATAGATCGGTACTCCTAATCGATTAAAACAAGCACGGCGAGGAACACCTGTGGACACGTGCGGCAGGTACTACAGTGACGTCATAGAAGAGGATTAGCCATTAGCTCCGCGCGTAGCTCGCTAGCTCCGATAACTCTGCTGAATGCAATGGGTTTGTACCAGGAGGTTCTACAAGCAGGTACCGATCAGAAAGGAAGTTAGGGTAGGTTACCTCCTCCATAACGCCCGAATCGGGACATTCTCACTCAGGTTGGTTCCGATCGATGCGGGATCGAGTTAGCTCCCCTGTTAGCCGCTCGCTGATCTTGCACAGGAAAGAAGGCATGGGTCTTCCGGTTGGATTTCCAGAGTAAGAGTCTGAATAGAAAAACTTTTATTTTATAATGTTTGTAGTTGTAGCGGGTGTTGTGCTTATTGGAAGTTATGTTTGTTTCAAATTACTTTATTCAGATTTAATCACATCTATCCATTCAAATCCTTATCTTCTTATGTGATTATGTCCTTATATTTTTTATATAAATATATAAAAATATTTTCTAATTTTTATAAGTTTTCCAGAACTGTAGTTACAGTCAGGTAACAAAATGTTGAAATTAACAGGTACAAATCACAGATTTTTTCTAAAACAAAGTAGACAGTAATAATATAATAAAAGGAAAGAATATAATAAAAATGAAGGAATAATGGATAGAGCAATAAGAATCAGTAAAAAAAGATAAATAGTATACAGTTAGGGATTCTCCACATGTTTAGGCTCATTTATATACTTTAGAAGTTTTACAGCAGTTTGTTTTTCCATATTGTTCAATGATGAGTAGAAATGTTCTTTATGAAAACCTATAAAGTTTGGACTAGATTTGTAAAATCCATTTTGTGAGTATAAAAAAAAATGTTATATAATCAATTGTGAGGTCATATCAGTGGTTCTTCAAAATGTAACCGTAGATTATATTTTCCATTTTCAAAGCTGGGATTGGAAAATATCTATAGATATTTTCTGGCTGCCTATATGCAACCACCAATTCCAGAAGGCAGCTGTGTGCTGCTCAAAACAAAACTAAAATAAATGCAACAAATGCATGTGAATGCATATCAAAATTAAAATAAATGCTTTTCTTAAGCCATTTGGAGTCCATGCAAAAGCTTGTTCTCTTTGTAAGTGTTATTTTATTTTTTTAAATGGAAAATATTTCGTTTGTACGGAAGAGGATTATGGTCACTGAAATTTTTTTTTAAAAGTTGACTGATTTTAAAATTTTATTTCAGTTGAATATGGGGGGAAAAAGTCAGCATTCTGACTTTTATGTCAGAATGCTGGCTTTTTTCCCATATTAAGCTGAATTAAAATGTAAAAAATCATTTAACTTTTTGATTTTGATTCGAATATGCTTTTTTCAGTGGCCCTAATTCTCTTCCGAACATTTGAATTTCATTTTCAATCCAAAAGAAAAAAAATAAACTGGTTGGTATTGCCGCTCCCGACCTGCAGGGGGCAGCAGAGGCTCACAGTGCTGTATAAGGCGGAACTGTTGCATTTGCCGTGTTTCACCCGGACGACTGCTGAGGTGGTGCAGCGCCGCAGCGGCGGTATAACTAATCAGTAGCGGGCTGATGATCGATCAATGATCACAGGAGCGTGATGCAGTGTGGGTGGCTTCAGTCAGGTCCGCAGCTGTGGCTCAGCTGCGTCCACAGACAGGTGATGGTGAAGGCGCAGGGGGAGGAGCACCGTGGGTGGCTGCTGACCGTGGATCCGGTGTCCCGCAGGTGAGACAGGAATAGATGAATAGATGATTCTGTTTGGTTTCTTGCGTGTGTTACGCCCCCCTGGCTGGGTCTATGGGGTATAAGGGACCAACATACATTTAGACAGTGAATGAAGGAGTCAAAAAGGCATTAAAAAAGTTTTATTCTGCCATTTTATTCCAAAATAAACAAAACAACCCTAGAGAAAAAGAAAAGTGGACTTACCTTACACAATATAAAACCAAAATATACAAACCTATGAACTAACCTACCTAACCAACACATAAACAGGAGAAAATGGGTTAAACAAAAAGGCAGCTCTCCCACACAAAAACCATCCAAGCAGGTTTACATGGCAGTAACTTAACAGCCCATTAGATTCTACAATGAACACAGAGATGTACGGCAGGCAAATGGCCCAGAAGTAAAGCTTCACCGGCCTTAAATAGGCTTCAGGTGATCTTGATTGGGCTGAGACTCAGGAAGCAGCAGTCAGTCTTAAAGGCGGAGCCTAAAACAGAGCAAGGTGTTGATTGGATGCAAGAACAAAATAACATCCATCTTGGGGATGTAACACATGGATGGCCTGTTTGGGTCGAACCTCTCTGTCCTCAGATGTAGAGAAAATGAGTCATTGGTTCTGTTTCATTTGGGATGATGTGGTTCCGCTTCTTTCTGCAGCGTGGTACTGCTGGACCTGCGGGCGGAAGGTGCTTCGGTCCGGGTGGTCATGGGCCACGCTGTGGAACATGTGGAGGTTCTGCAGGAGGCAGACCAGGAGACGTTGGAGCGGATCCGCTCCTTCTTCGTCCCCCAGGAGACCCTCAGCCTGGACCCAGAGGAGCTACAGAGGAGGAGGTCCGGTGTCTGCGGGTGGCTCCAGAAGAACCTGGTTCCTGTAGAAGAGGACGGGAATGAGCTGAGGGTGGCGGGGGTTCTGACCATCAGAGCTCCATACGGAGCTGAGGACTGCAGCAGCTCTAACCAGATCATCCTGGACCGAATCCAGAGACTGATCCAAGCCCAGCCCGACCCACGCCCAGAGCCTGATCCAGGTCAAAGTGGAATTACATCCATTCACTGATACAAGTCCAACCAGAACCAGGTTCAAAGACTGATCCAGGTCCCGTTGAACCTGGCCTTATTGACCCTTAAACCCACTGGGTCCCGGTTCTGTTTCTCTGGACCAATAGACTCTTTCTTTTTTTTTTTTTTTTTTTTGTTCTGGATGTGGTTCTGATTGGAAGATTAATAAATCGGTTGTGTTTGCTAATTAGCGTTTGTCTTGTTTTACTCTATTGGTAAAAAGCGCCCCCTTGAGGCCATCTTGTGATCGTTCAAAAGTGACTTTTCTTTAGTCTAGTAAATTAGCCCCACACGGCAAATAATTTTTGACTGCCAGTTGGTCTAGCCTCCATCAATGCCCCAGGCCCTAGAACTGGCGGGCCAATCACAACGCAGAGATGTGTTTTGAATGTCTGGATGCAAAGCGGGCTGGGTTTAAAGGGTGTGATGACAAAGCTGCTCGACGCTGGAGAAAGCACAACAAGGAAGATGGCAACGACTATTGAACAGCTCTCATTTGACTCAGCTTTGGAATCAGATTTGGAAGGATTAGACTTGGGGTTTTCATTGAATAGTGAGCAGGAAGAGGCTCTACGCTCATTAATTTTTAAAAAGGACGTATTCGCCGTTTTACCGACAGGCTGTTTGTTTACACTCCCCCATCATCTTCCTGTCGCGATTCCTACGTCACAGTCAGTTACGCTCATTGGTCAGAGCGTTGGCCAATAGGAACAGACATGGTTTGAAAAACAACGGGTTGTTCTCATCAACAATCTTCCAATGTCTCATTCATCGGGGCCAGACTAAATTACACATTTGATCTCACATTTAGTCTGGTTTATCAGGCTAGCATTTTTTTGTTTATCTCTGGTCTTTGTTTCCTATGACGGAATATTAGAGCCAGGCTAGAGATTTTTTTTTCTATTTCAAGAATAAAGTCCTAACAATAGGAGAATAAAGTTAAAAACTTACAAAAATAAAGTCGCAACGAGAATAGTCATAAAATTATGAGAAGAAGGTCATAAAATTACGAGAAAGTCGTAAAATTACGAGAATACGAGTTTATTCTCGTAATATTAATACCTTATTCTCGTTATATTACAACTTTATTCTCAAAATTTTAACAAATTTTAAAAATCTGGTCTGGCCTTAACACTGTCGTAGTTTCCTGCTAAATCAACAATTTGGTTAAAAAAAAAAAACGAAAAAAAAAAATCAAACACAGTGAACTCTATGCTAAACTGCAGCCAAAGCCCAATTAAAAAACGCCAGAATGCAGAGATTCTGTCCATTTTTATTCTTCAAGCGCAGCAGTCACAATGGCGTTTCTTTCTTTTGATGCCAAAAACTACAACATCCATTGCTTCAGTTTTTCCTGGACCAAAGCGTCCTGGAAATGACGTCATTGTTGGTTTTCTTTTGCGCATGCAGATCAGTTTGGTGCTTAAACTGGTCAAACTGGAATCAGCGCCGAAGAAACAATTTAAAAGTAATGTGAGCAACCTTCATTGTCTCTACGCTGCCATCTAGTGGTAAATGAATATAGGCAAGTTTTTCTTTTCATTTTTTTTGGCTTGTCAACTTCAATTTAATATTTGTGTGATGCCAATAAAGCTTTTTTTACATGGCCCCAGTATGATCGGATTTATGATGCAATGACAGATCAATGACAAAGTGGAAACAAACGGGGAGAGCGCTTATGCTCTGAGAAGGCATGTACCCAGTTTGATCCCCAAAGCTGGCACTCTGGGTCTTTGAGCAAGACCCTTAACCCCAAACTGCTCCCCAGATGCTGCACAGTGGCAGCCCTCTGCTCCCCAAGGGGATGGGTTAAATACAGAGAGTTAATTTCTCTATTGTGAGATCAATAAAGTTCAATTTCCATCCTTTTTCTTTTTCAAATGGAGGGGATGATTTTGATTCGAATAGGCTTATTTTACTAGGGACAGGTGTTTGATTCACTGCTATACAGTGCCGGATAATCCAGGCCCAAAAAGTAAAAAGCTGGTACAGAGATCTGTTTCCAACATTTGTATTTCTAGCTTCACAACACAGACTGGAAGCTAATCACCTCGTTATTAAACGGGAAGGAAAGATTTGTCAGGGATTATACCTTCTAGACCTCTGCTGCTTTTAATATGTTGAGTTCCTCTTTGTGGAGGCATGACATACCAAAATAAAACAAGAGAATGTGAAGGGAGAATCGACAGCATTTTGCTGCCCCTTCAAAGCCAGGTCCTGAACATCATCACCTGCATCATTGACACAAGCCTCGATGCGTGCGACAGTCCTAAGCATCCGTACACACTGAATGATTTCAGTTTCCTAAAGATGATAGAGGCGACTCTGGCACCCTAATTGTACCAAACCAGTTTATTGTTGAGGTGAATACTCAGGTACTTCAAACTTTCCACTCAACGACTCCTTGCACCCCTCCCTGGATGTTCATCTGTGGATGAGGTGGCGTCCTTGAAGTCGATCATCTCCATCATCTTAATAATATTCAAACACCGATGGCTGGTTTCACAGAAGTCCATTAAGTCCTCAGCTGACTGATATGCAAAATGTACAATGAACTGTAAAGAGAACTCTCCGTTTTGCAGTTAATGTTCGTGGTGTAAAGGGTGAAAGAAAGTAGTGAAAAGAGAGACAAGACCAAGACTTTTAGGGTCCGAGACTAAGTCAAGACCAAGACCAGTGCCAGTATGTGACAATACAATGTGAAACAAGATCAAAATCCCTAAAATTGATATTAAAGACCCACAATCACATAAAAACACCTAGATATTTAAAACACAGAACTGGACTAAACATAAACATCTCTTAAGTAATAAGTTGGACGTAGTCCCTACTGTCTCAGATAGTGAAGCACTGCAGAACTTACATTGTGCTTTATGCTTTTTTCTCTCAATGTTGCTTTACAAATATATTCTTTGTGATTTAAATAGCCGAATTTTATAACCGATGATTTGGCCGACATCTTATCCCGTTCTCAGACAACCACTTGTGACTATCAATCGAAGTGCTGCAGCCCGTGCACAGGTGAAAGGGGGTGGGCGGGACAGCGGTAAAAAAAAACAAAAAAATGTTTTTAAAAAACCATGAATTTACCAATGAGACAGGTTATTGCTTGGATTTGAATCCAAGCATCCAATAAAAAGAAGGATCTTAAATAAACTGATAATATTCTGATAATTAGCGTTATTTCCAGTTGTGGTCTTGAAATAAAATGCAGAGTCCTCAGCGCCCGAGACCGAGACAAGACCGAGACCGAATGCGGTTAAGTCCGAGATGAGACCGAGACCATCAAAAAATGGCCTTGAGACCAAGACCGATCTTGAGTACTACAACACTGGTGACAGGACAATACCCTGCAGGGCCCTAATGGTGCAGAATAAAGCTTCCGATTCACAGCTGATCAACTGGCATAATGTGGCTGGTCAGTGAGGTGGTCCAGGCCTCTGCAGGGCGTCCAAGGTGGGGCTCACCTTGGGCCTCTCCACGGTAGTCATCAGGCAGGAGGTCATGATGACTGGCCTGTAGTTCCTTGAAATGAGTCGTTTAGGAACCAAAAACACACAAATGTTGCACAAAACATGGGCCTCAGCGTCCAGACTGAGGCTAAGGTTCCACATGTAGCTGAAGACAGAGTCTGCAAAGGTTCTTAGCAGCCGGCGACTGATGGAATCAGGTCCTGCAGCTTTCCCAGTAAAGCTAAGTTGATTGATCAGCTTTCATTTTCTTAAAAACCCTGAGTCTTCACTTTCGTCAAAGAGCCTTCATTCACACGAAGAGCTAAATGTATTGTGCTCTATATGTGCAAAAAAAAGTAGAACATAAAATATTAACTATTTTTGTTATTTTTTTGTTTTCATATGTTGTATAAAATACTAATTGAATAAACCAAAAAATATGTTTTACATATTAAACCCATTTTTAACAAGAACAAAGAGAAACCTATTAGGTTACTGACTAAAAAATGACAAAATATGTCACTTTAACATAATGTCAGACTATTTGCCACTTATTTTTGATGAAGTGGAAACTAAATATGATATATCGCTGTTATTTAGTGTCATCCAATAATCTATGCAGGGAGAGATGCTGTTAAAGCCTTTTAACAGGTTGTTCTGGTTGTTTCCAGAAGAATGTTGAACTTGGCTCAATGAAGTGCATTAAATCACAAAAGCTTTCTTTATCTACCTTGCTAACTGCTAGCATGTCTTTTTATCATCATGTTGCAACTGTTTTACGTAAAACCCTCCACATTTATATCGTCATATCCTATCCTTCCAATCACAGCAGAGAAGTTACGCTAAATGGGTGCTATTACGGCCTTAACTTTAGGAGTGTTTTAAATGTTTACATTTACAAACAGAAACACGGAAAGTTGATTTAGCATTCTTGATTAAATTTAACTGTAAATAAACTCAGACTCTGGATCAATTCTGGCTTCTGCTCTAGCAGGCTTCCAAACTGGCTTTACTTCTCTTGCAAACACAAGTAAAGCTCCACCTAAGAATGAACAGCAGTGCCCTCTAGTGGATAAATGCAACACTACAACACTGACAGAAATTCTAACTCTGAAATCTCACAATCTGCATAACCTGTTCCACTCCACTCTAAACCGCCTGCAGCCTCTGCGGTTCTTCCTGTCTTGCTTCACTGAGTTCCTTGGAGCTCGAGAGCATGCACGGTTTTATTTATGAATTCAAAGGAAAACAATACGAGGTCACAAACCCTTAATTTAATGAGATAATATAAACTCACCATCAGTATCTATCATTTTCTGCCCAAACATTTAATGTTAATTGTGGATCTTTGTAATAAGAATAATAAGGAGCATACAAAAGTGGTTTGCTCTCCTTACAACTCAGCATCTCTTCATCCATGCCTGCGATAAGAAGTTTATTTTAAAGTTTTGAAATGTGCTCTTGGAACTTGTTTTAACTGGATTTGATTAAACTTTTTAGCCTCTGTGTATAAAATAAATATTTTGATCGACATGACAAAGCTGCTTCCTGGTATGTTGAATTACCAATAGTTTGCATCCAATAATTTTATAAACCAGTCTCAGTTTTTAGGCATATATCAAAATTATGCTCTAATTTGTAGTTAGTGATCTGTCGTTACCATATTTTAATTTGACAAACCAGATCTTCTCAACATTCTTTTTCCTGTTTGGTGCCATTGCAATTGCGGCTCTTGACCTGGAGTCTTCCAACTGAGCGGAGCAAAAAATAGCTTGGCTCCGTATTTTGCCGGTTAAGGATGGAGAAGACGTACGAGGACGGCGATGTGCAGAGGAGTAGCGGCGGATATGCAACAGTTCTCATTGACATTAACATGACGGCGCAAGTGCTCTGCATGACGTACGTGAGCGGTAGAGAGTGGAGGATGTGGAATCTGGGGATAAGCACACATGATCAATAATTTGATTAAACAAATTTCCATCTAATAAACCATTAATCAACAGTTAATCATAAGTTTATAATTATTTACATCACTAGTTGACACAGAATCCCCCTCCCAGAGGGGCAGAAAAGTAACAACAGGAATCCAGATCATAGACAGAAACATTTATTCCCTTCTTTGTTTACATCATCAACAACAACAACAATAACAAACAACACCGGGTCCACCAGAACCAACAACAGTACCTCTTAGGTTCTGGACCAGTACCTGCAAGCTGTGAACCACAGTTCTCACAGTCTCCGTTAAGCCTCAGGTCCAACCAATTTTGATCCGTTTCATTAGGTCCAATCAGAACTGATCAGATTCCATCAGATGCAGTCGGCGCTGATCCGGGTCCCACAGGTCCCAGCTCACAGATGAGGAACAGAAATGAAATGACCACACAGAAAAAGTCTTGAGAATTTTGGAGTAAGAGCACGCCGTTGGGTCCAGTTTCAGTTTGGTTCTGACAGGATCAGAAGCTGCTGGGGGGTCAGCTTCTTGTTCATTCTGATCCAGTTAGCTATAGTGTTTCCAGCTCTGCCTCGTTCACAAGATGTCCAATCACAGAGCAGGGGGCGGGACCAGCAGCAGGGACTTGGCTCAGAGATTCTCTTTTGTACGTCTTGGGAGGCAGTTTGGGGACGCTGTGGCGTGGAGGTACTGGGGGGCCATCTAGGGGTGGGGAGGGTAAGGGCATCTTTCTACCTGTGGGGGTGAGTGGCACAGGGGGGAGGGGTGGGGAGGAAGACAAGGCTGTGGGGGTGGAGCAAGCGGAGGAAGTAGAGGATGTGTTGGAGGGAAAGAAGGCCTGAGACAAGAGTTCACAGCGAGAGCGGCCCTGGGGGGGAGGGAGGAGGTGCAGGGGGGAGCTGAGCGGCTCTCGAGGGGGCAACAAAGGGGGGCTGTCTGGAGGAGACGAAGACAACGACGAAGAGTAACGAGGGGTGGGGAGCTTACATGTGGGCTGTCGAGGAGGCACAGCAGGCGGGCTCTCCAACTTGGACTGGATCTGGAGGAGCAGAGGGGGCAGAGTTAGGTAGAGAGGAGGAGCACAGAGGAGGTGTAAGAGTCCGTAAGAATTCATCTAATTCAGATATAAAGATATTAAAAATGGTTGCTAACTGGTGATTGACAGGTCAGGTCAACTGGTGAGTGATGGGTTAAGTTGCTAACTGATGACTGATGGGTGCTTTTGCTAACTGGTGAGTAACTGGTTAGGTTGACTAGTGAGTGATGAGTTAATTTGCTAAATGCTGCGGGACTGTTTGCTTTGCTAACCTCTATTGTGTGACTGGTTACCTTTGAGGGGGAAGACTCGGAAGGAGCTGATTCTGGTCTTCTGCGTGGAGGAACAGGAGGAGGGATGGGGGTGTCCTCTGACACCCGACTGAAACTCATTATTGAGGAGACAGACGAAGACCCTGGGGGTGAGTACAGGTACAGAACCAAATTAGAACCACATAAAGAACAGTTTGTTAAAAATGACAACACAAAACAAAAAAACCTTTTTAAAGTTAATGGTTTGATGAGTTAGGGACAGACTAACCGGTCCGGCTGCTGACAACACAATGTAATTAAGAGGATAAGGCAGCTAAAGTCTGTGCATTCATAAAGAGACATCGCTAGGCCTCTGTCAGGAAGAACATTGCACGTTTCTTCTTATGTTGCTAGGTCACTTTTAGGGAAATCCCTCAGGAGAACATGAGGAACCAGTGAATCCTCTCAGGCAAGTCCATTAGGAATAATATCGCAGGAAAAGAAAACAGCAATTCTGGTGTTAATGGGACTAATAAATGAAACCCAGGGATAAACATAAATCATCACAGACAGAGAGCAGATGGTTTCCATGGAGATGAGTAATAATCAAAAAAGACAGGTCAGTGCTGGGTGGTGCCATTCTTTCAGTCCAAACCAGAAACTCTTATTTCTAGGATGAACCCAGTGAGTTCTGATGGAGAAAAAAAAAAAAAACTTAAATCATTTAGAAGGTTTTTCATCATCAAACCCTCGATAGATCCATCAGGATGATCTTATATGTTCTATCAGCACAAATAACGGTCAGATGATTTCTGTTTTTAATCAATTATTTAACATCCATGGTGGATTTTCTCTGACCGATTCAGGATCAAATACCGCTGGAACCAGATCTTCACATAAAGTTAAAAACACCAGAAGAATTAGTTTTTTTTTCTTTTTCTTTTTTGCTTTAACGTAGGATGTTTGCAAACATTAAGATATATGGAGAGAGGTTTTATTCAAAATTATTCAAATAGATACAACTATTAATAAATCATTAATAAAATTCCATTCAATAATAATAAAAATATTTTATTCATTTATCATTTTAGTTATTTATTCATTTATCATTTTAGTTATTTAT